AGCACACCCTTGTCATTTTAGATGTGTTCTCAGGATGGAGGCCTGTCCTTGTAAACATGCAGATGAAACAACTGTTGCAAAAAAAATGCTGAGAGAACTAATTCATGGGTTTAATATTCCCCTAACACTAGACAGCAATAGGTGACCCATTTTACTGGACAAGTAATGCAGAAAATTTGGGCAACCCTACAAATAGAATGTAAGTGTCATTTTGCCCATCACCCCCAATCCAGTGGGGCTGTAGAGAGGAAAAACTCTGATTTTAAAACCAAGTTAGCAAGAATTTGTGCAGAAACTGGCCTGAAATATCTGGATGTGTTACTGATGTGGTGAAACAGACTCCATAATCAGTGAGATTGTAAAGTAGGTATGTTCATTCAGCACTGGGCAGCACAGGGGGTAGTCCCACCAAAGTCGTGCGTGCCTGACTCAGCAGTTCGCTTCAAATTTATACAGTCAAGTGTTACATATACATAGAGTTTCGCAATACGCCTATACATAGGCATGACCTATCTCCGCTTCATATTAAAATTAGTTCCAATAAGTCATTTCCCTAAATTCTTCCCAACTGCGCCTGCGCAGTGCCTCCTTGTGGTGGTCGTCGGGGGTCGTGAAGATGAAGGCTGTATGTCTTCTTTGCGGTGAACTCTTAACCTTCTGTCCCTGCACAGACTCAGTAGCTCCTTGGCATTTATCCAAATCACAAGGTCTGTCTTGGCTGGTTCTTGGGGTCGACTTCTGCTTCTTATCAGGGACTATCTCTTGCCCCAGCCAGCCTCAACAATGCAAACGCTAAACATCACCTCTCATCCCCTTGGGCCATGTCTACCGCTGTGGAAATTTCTTTAACTTCATTATAAGCTAGATAATTATTAAACAGTTCCTATCTACATGCATATATCTACTATATCTACTAAGGTTCCTTTGGCTCCCTGTCTCATTACCTTTCCCATTGATGCATGCGAGAAGCATTGTGAATAGAAAATATGGGCCGTCACCCCATGAGATTTTGACAGGCAGACCCATGGAACTGTCTTATGGGACTGTCTTACACAACATCCTTAACTCCCATGCAGTCAAAGTTAAAACTAACAGATAATGCTTTCCTAAAATATCGCCAGGTATTAATGAAATGTTTAAGGACTTTCCACACACAGCTGAAAGAATTTTTACCAGAACCCACTACTAAAGTCTGTCCCTCCTTGAAATCCAGAGACTGGGTCTACATGAAGGTATACCAGGGAAAAATCACCCTTCAACTGCACTGGAAGGGACCTGCTCAGCTACTGGTAATTACTAATCCTACAGTAACATGCAAGGGCTGCTCAGCTGGAGCCACACTTCCCAGTGTAAAAGGGTCACACCGTCTTCAAACACAACGCGGAGTGTATCACCTGTCACAGCAGAGCTGGGTGATCTGGATGAATTTGCTTTGATCAAATGTCAACAGAAGTACCATCTACAACCCTGCAAATAGACTTTGATGACCCTGTTATTATCATCTGAACCTGTCGACTGTTTTTAGAAATTGTAGTTTTGTTTACTCTGGGATTTTGCATTTGGGTTTATGTTATTACTGGTCATACACTAACTCGTAAGAATTGTTATATGATAAAACCTTAAGGAATTAAGGATTATTGGGGGTATGTGGCTCTAAGGCCTCTAAGATGCTGTCTGTTTATTGGATTAACACCTGTACATTAGGATTGGTTTGGTTTTATGTTTTTTTTTCCTTGATATTTCGATACTTCCAGACCTCTTCTGGAATGACAGGCACAACTTACCCCAGCATACCAAGCAAAGTATAAAATGCTCTGTGCAAAATCCATTTGTTAAATATTTGGCAAACTGGCTTCCACCAGTTTGCACAAACATTTCTCCCCTGGATAGGAGTGTCAGAATTATAAAGGGCTGTCATAAACGTATCTACTGTAATGAAGAGATGGGTAATGCTATTTCAGCCTTCAAGGTAAAACAAACATCCTGGATAGCCCTGCAAAAGAGTGGCATTAAATTATATGCTTATCACTCAAAAAAGGTACATGTATATACCACTTGCTGTACAGATGCAGACCAAGATCAGAAAATAGAAATGGACATACATAAAATTTGAGGTAAATTTCAAATACTGCATGAAATACCTGAAAAAAACACAAAAAAAACTTTTTAACTTGTGTGGAAGGCTCCCAGACATGAAAGAATGGTTAGGGAAAAACTGCTTAAGAGAGCACTGAAGTATGATTTGTTAGGCTTATTAAATTTGGTGGTTATGTATGCATTAGTTCAGCTGATCTTACATAGCAGCCAATTGGTATGTAAAAAGATAGAACAAGGCATAATGCAAGCAGAGCCCAGTTAGTTGGCAGAGCAAGCGCAGAACCTCACCTTCACCAGCCCCCTCATTCTTGTCAGCTCCAAAACAGAAAACTCACCACCTCGGGCTCCCACAGGGAAGTGGCTGAGACCGAAAGCTGTTGCTGGCCCTCACCTTCCCTTGGCAGCCATTTCACAGCCCCACCAACACTTGCACTCTGCGCTTGCTCTACCACCTCACCTTCACCCTTGCCAGAGCCCAGGTCCCGCCAAACCTCCAGGGCACTCGGGACAGAAGCAGGTGTTGGAAAAGCCCAGCAAATGCCAAGGGGCTCTGTGGAATGCAGCAGGGCCCCACACAAGCATCAGAAAAACCTGGTGAAACCTCTGGGATACTGTAGAGAACAGCAGGGCCCTGCCAGTGCACAAGCAAAGCCTGGGCCCTGCTTCCCTCTAGTTTCACTGGAGCCTTTGCCAGGTGTTTCCAGGGCCCAGCCACACTCCGGAATTTCCTTGGGCCTTCACTGAGCTTTGCCAATGCCCAGGCAGTTCCCAGATGCACTCCAGTGTGCCCCGGGGCCTTCGCCAGGTGAAAGAGAGGGTGCAACCAGCAGCAGCAAAGGTTGGGGTGAGGACGTGAGGAATCCTGGCTTGCAAATATTGCTCTGGTAACAGTGGCACAGTGTTTGCTCCAGCACGGCCCAGGATTTCTCAGCTGTCAGCACCGTGCTGTTGAGTGGTGTATTGGGTTTGCATGGCAAGGTTTTGGTAGCGGGGGGGCTACAGGGCTGGCTTCTGTGAGAAGTTGCTAGAAGC